CTGCATTCATCACACAGCTTGGGCCAGCAGCATGGTATGAATACCCAACAGCAGCTGTAGCATGTCAGATGGACTCCTGGCGCAAGGGTCTGTATACGTGTGGTCCAAAAAATCCATTTCACACCCAGAGACAGTTCCATGGTTCAAACTAATGAGAGCCAGAATGCAAAATGAGGTGGGCACTGGAATATCAGCTAGTCTTGCTTTTGATGATGTCTTTCTATTGTTGATTCTGTGTTCTTCTCATAATTTCATCCAAGTCATTTGGCAGAGTCTTGACTTATCTCACTGGTCCATGCAATGAGTTTTAAACTGCAGTGCTCGTCTACCTTGTTAGCTAACAACATTATAGCTTTTCCCTTGGCAAGATTTCTCTGGCATTGCTGCTTTGTGTTTTCCTTCTTTTGACTACAGAAACACAATTAAATCCAGGAAGTCAAGCTAATATATCCAGTAAGAAAACACAATTTTATTCAATTATATTGTTTAGTATTATTGCCCTCAATGAATACTTTTTCCCTTAACAGTCTTCCAACACTGAATTTTAGATGCAAAAGGCACACTTCCAAAAAAGATTCCCAGTGATCATTAATGCCAAGAATAAGGGGCACTGCTTATCACCAGCATCTGAACCAGTCTTGGAGTTGATAAAATGGAGCTTCTCTGCAATGACAATAAGATTATTTGTTCTTCTTTCCCTCTACATTTCCAAACAAATTTCAAAGCCCTCCCTGCAGAGGAAAGGGCTAATCAAAGAAGTGTGAGGAAAACAGATGCTAATTCTTTGGGACAACTCATGGAAAAAGGAGTTCACTACTCAGCTCAGTGAGGTGACAGCCTGCAGCATTTTCCTTGCTGCACATCTCCCCAGTGACACTACCAGGAGAAACAAGTCCTGCCAGCACATGGCTTTGCTTGCCTTCTCAGGGGGACTCCTGGGAGCAGAAGGATGTCACCCCTTACTCCTGTGCCTGGACATCAGTGCTGGGGCTGGATCGTTTGGCTTGGCAGGACTGGTTTTTAGCCAGAGTAGTCTAATGGTCTGGCTAACTCCACCTGCAAGTCTTACTGCTTTTGTGAAAGAAGGAGTAATGGTGACCTGCTCCAGAATGTCCTTTCACAGTTCTTCTAGTGTGGTTAAAGCTCTTCCTAAAACAGTGTACTTGGAAGCAATGCACCATGAAGCAAAAAAGAAACTGTGAACAAATAACAAAATTGCATGTCTATGTAAGGTCTGCTGTGGATCTTCATCCATACCTCCCAGTTCAGGGATCTTACCCTCATCTGTTAATGCCACTCAAAGCTCTGTCACCACAAGTTAACACCTTAGCATTTGCCCAGGCTTACCTCCTGGCTGTGTTATTTTCTGTCTCTTCCACTCCTGCATGAGGCTCTGACCATTCCTTTTCTTTTTTCTTCTTTTTTTTTTTTCTTTAATGAATCAATCCAAAACAACTTTTCTGCCAGTTTGCAGTTCTCTGCAAACCTTTTGTATTGACTCACATTCAGAGAAACACGTCAGATGCTCCTGTTATATTTATTGCCAGGTCTCACTTTTAAAGTCCTAGGATTGTGGGAATTTCAGCTACTGCTTTTTCTTTTTTTAAAGGTTGCTTTCTAGACCTCTTGCTTGTAAAGAAAATCCTGACAGTACCACCTGTTAAGAAACAGATGTCAATTAATTTATTTTTAAATAATGTAGGCAACAAGCTATTCTCAAGGAACCTAGTTTCTAAGCAGTGGGAGATGGTAACTTCTTTCTGGCTCTATGGGATTTTCTTTCTTCATTGATGCTCAGCAAGTGTTGTTTTTTTTTTCTCCATGAATTCTTATTCTCCCTTTTTCTTTTCATCAGAAACCTGTAAAAGAATCCTTGCTAACATTCAGTTAATTTTCTTAGCTCTGTCACCTCATTTATATACCTGTATTTTCAATATATGGGTTTTTTTAAAAGACTAATGAAGACCCTGTATAGGTAGCACATTTGCCTGAAAACATATTTTATGACTAGGTATATAATTTTGTCTTTTTTTCTGTTATGTAAATGAATAGTCCATCAAGTAATGTACAGTCAATATTAAAGCTGATTAAAAAAATAGTTTGAGTCATTCATGTGGCTTTTAGACAGGATATCTTGTTTTTTCTGTCTGATATTTCCTTTTGTCTGATATTAGAAAGGCATTATTCCAATTTGCCTTTTTTAAACAGGGGACTGCATTCTGCCTCAGCAGGGTAAGTTCATCATTGCCCATGAACATTACCTTCTGTTTCCCTTTTTATTTCTTTGCATGTTACTGTGCACTTTTAAGACATTGATCATCACGTGTAATTTGAATACTACTTGTGCCGCTTTGCAAAATTATAAAAATGACCAGCAGTAAACGTTTGTGAGTAGATAACCTCTAACTAGAGGGAAAAGAACGTTATCCAGAAGCCCGGGATCAGCTGGAGTGGGGAGCTTGTACTACCACCTTTAGGCTGTACTACCACCCATCGGCTTAAAGTAGAATTTACAAGAGCAGTGGAGTGGGCAAAGCTTCAAGCCCCCTGTTGCAGCACAACCTGCCACACTATCCTAGCTCCTACAAAGCTGTGAATCCCAGCAGCTGAAGACGCCTCATTCCTGAGGGATTTGGCTGCAGTGGCTAGATACTACTAACCCCCGTTACAGAAAAAGTACCCTCTTTGCTCATAGCCAAATATAACACGGATTTTGGCTTTTCAAGGCAGAGCTTCTGTCTGGCTGTATGGAATTTTCTTGGAAGCTGGACCAGGAAAATAATTTTTTTTGCTATGAAAACTGAGGAAGTTTAAAAGTGCCCTAACTTAATTTTTTTATTTTTTTTTCTTGTAAGGGAACCTAAAACATTTACCATTTTCAAATGTAAAGTTCTCTTGACAGATGTAGATTCATGCTATCTTGCTCTTCTAATTCTGAGGTCACTTGGGTTATTCTTGGAGAACAGATTTGGAGAAGAGGAGGCTGAGGGGTGACCTCATTGCAGTTTATGCCTTCCTCTCCAGGGGAAGAGATGGGGCAGGTACTGATCTCTTCACTCCTGTGACCAATGACAGGTTCAAGGGACATGGCAGGAAGCTGAATCAGGGGAGATTTAGGTTAGGTATCAGGAAAAGGTTTTTCATGCAGAGGGGTGGTTGAGCACTGGAACAAGCTCTCCAGGAAGTGGTCACAGCACCAAGCCTGCCTGAGTTCAAAAAGTGTTTGGATGATGCTCTCAGACACATGGGGTGGTTCTTGGGGTGCCCTACACAGGGACAGGAGTTGGACTCGATGATCCTGATGGGTCCCTTCCAACTCAGCACATTCTATGATTCCATGATTTGGAAACAGTTGCTGTGCAGGACAGAATCCAAATTAGGCTTGCTATTAATTTCATAGTATTGCAGGTAAAACTGCTTAATCTTGAAGGTTATTATCAGTAGAAGCAATAAACTGCTATGGATTGTGAAAACATCAATTAACCCAGTGCCTCTTCATTTCAAGAGGTGTATGACACCTTTTGGAAAGGCAACTGTTGCTGCAGTGGAACAGCTAAATAATGAAATATTTAGATGCTGATGAAATCAAGGTATATGGGGAGTGAGGGGGGGCCCTTCTTCAAAGTTAAATGCCTGCTGCTTTCTGCATGTTTGCATGTAATTATTTTTCTAGACACTTCTTGTTAAATTTCAGGTAAGTTTTACATTAGAACTGCATTCAGAGCCTACTAATTTTGACTTCAATCTTTGTTTTAATATTTACTAAATGTTGCTTCAGGTACTATTCAGAACCTGGTCCCTGCTTTTGTTTGGAACCAAGACCATAAGGTTTTCCATTCTTTATCTGTTGCTCTACAACTCTTGCTCTACAACTGCATACCTTTTTTTGTGCTTATAACACAAAATCAGCAGACATGTTGTTTCCCTCACGCATTCCTTATTGCTCTGAATTTTCAATTTGGGGTGTTTGCATTGAGTTACATTGGCAGTAGAACAGCAGTGGTAAAGTTGTCGACAATCATGATTAACACCTGCCAGAGATCCTACAAGACTGTAAGCAAAAAGGTTCTCAGAAACAAGGGTTCAGTCTGGTACTGTCAGGTGGAATGCAAGACCACAACAGTAGCTAGAGAGCCATGAGTTTATTGATAATATACTTGCAGTGCAGTCAGCACGGGGAGCCCCAGCAACCACAGGGAGGGTTGAGGGGAGAGTGTGGCCTGGTCAGGTGCCCCATCCCTGCCTCCACACAGATACTTCTTATTTTCGACAGCAGGGTTTTTTTATATAAATATATATATATGTATACCTTGTGCCCACCTGGTTACACATCAAACCATACAACACTGCAATAAATAGAAGCTCAGGTCACTGTGACCTGATGATCAGCAGTGGGGGCAGGACACTGACGTTGTGAACTGAGACCAGATCACACGCATCGAGCCACATCCTTGACTCCTCGATCATCTTCCAAGTCCTCCCCTTGCCACGTGTACATCCCAACATGGTACATTTCTCTGTACAAACTGCAGGGACCAAGTTCCAAAACATGGAGTAGATTATTTTATGCATAGCTTTTCTTTCATCTCAATCAGTACATTAGAAAAAAAACAAAACAAGAACAAAAGACATCTTGTGGTATGGCTATTTACAGTTGCAGCAGCATAGATGTGTGTGTGTGTTAAAAAGATTTTTGATATAAAAGTAGGTCTCCCATTATTTCCCTATTTAAAAAAAAAAAGCCTAATGCAAAAGAGTTCTTAAGTTCCTTTCTCAGCATAATCTGAAAACTTATATTGTGTTTTAGGAAGACTTTAGAAATAAGGTACACAAACAAAGATTACCTGAAAATACTGCCTGAAGGAAGACAATAAGAATCAGAATGGCAATATGCCATCAATAATGCTCAGAAACGCCGCTGGCTTGAGGTTAGCATTTCTTTTGTTCACTTGGCTGTCTCTGTTCTGGCTGATTCATATCAATCCCAAAGCAAAAAATCTTCAATAAGGTGCTTCATTAAGACATGGGAAATAGTCTTCAGTCTTGAAGAGGACTGGAGCTTCATAGGGGGTCTGCTGTTGTCTTGAGGAAGATGGTTTCTGCAAATGAGATAAGCTTATTTTTCTCCTTCTTAAAAAAACCCTACATTTTAAAAGAAAGCCTACAAAGATAAAATGCAAAACAAGAGAAGTTTTATGGGCATATATCCTTAGCCAGGTGAATTTTTAATCATAACTTCAGTGGGTCTGGCATATTCTTAGTGTTAGTGAAGAAAAGCAGCCTTTGACTTTTGCCATTCTATCACCTGAAGAAACCCAATCCTGGAAAGTATAAGATATGCCAGCTCTGCAGGAGTCAAATGAGTCATCTTTTCCAGCTGATGGTACAGTCATTGTACCATTCATCCTTCCAAAGCTTCAGACCTTCACCATTCTTGCTTTGCCCTTTCAGTTCTCCTCAGCCCTTTCCTGTGAGTTAACCTTAACCTGTTTATTTAA